TTGGAATTTGAAGCGAGAAATATACCATAACTTCAAATTCCAACCAAGTTTCTCATTATTGCGTCGACTCAAAAATTATTTGCGGTCTCTATGTTAGAATATTGCCCCAACAGTATTGTAATTTTACATGTTTATAGCTGCATGACTGACACAAGCGATTGGCAAAAAATGTTGTTTATCGACCTAGCAATCAATGTATACCGTCTATGAAGGCGAGTCAGTGTATGATTGGCCAGTAGATAGAAGCGGTAAGAAAAAGCGATAAACTGAGATACACCGCATTTTGTATATATACTTAAACACTATTGGTATTTATTTCACGAGTGGAATCATCTGCGTAAATGGCATGTTCTGAATTAGACATTCTAAAAGAGACCCAAGAAGTCTACAGGACGAAAGTATATTCCTGAACAAGAAAATTACAACAAAATCAACCCTCCTTTGGCTAATAAAAGCTATGGTTATTTCTCCAAGTACTGCAAAGTACTCCATCATCTAAAATATGATTGAAGACACTTTCATCAACATTCAACATCACTGTCATTAACTGCATCAGGCTCAGGAGGTACTACTCGCACTTCTCTTGAACGACGGCCTTGCTTCCCCCTCTCTGGCACAACAAACAGATGAAGGCAAAAGCTCGCAGCGATCACTGATGACATTTCAAACACATCTTCACTGACGCGAAATAGAAACAATTTTAATTTGAAGAACTTCTATCCGTTATTTTATCCAAAACTCTAAAGAAATGACCGAAGCAAGTAAAAATCTATCACAGGAGATACCTCGAACTCCTGAGAAAGTTAGAACGCAAGTTATTGGGAACGTTGCGAAGGCACGACTGATTCTCCAGATTCGCATTGCTTCATACAAATCTAGAGGCCGATTTCGTAATTAATACCCTAACTCTACCTGCATTTCTTCTATCCATCGTTCGAGATAAGTTGCGCGAGTCTTTCATCTAACTCTCCTTAATATTTAGAAAGTTATGCAGTTGTCTGAAATTAATGTTCTAAAAGAAGAAACTAGATCAAAAATGTGAAAAAAACAATGTGAACATGCAAACTTGACCTCAGCATAAAAATAAACAATTTGTTTTTTCACAATACTTATTCATGAAATGACCACACATGTCCAGCCAACAGGACAGGAAATTTCAACAAATATTTGTGAATAATATAATTAATGGCCAAAACAAACTTTGTTTTTAACAAGAGTAACTATACAAACACACGCATACAACCGTAAAGAAACATACATTATTGGGGGGAACAAACTTCTACCTAAAGATAAAACAAAATAATTGTTTATATAATGACATGGTAAATAAATGGACCATCAATAAATGCAAGAACTCATTACTCAAAATCAAGACAAATGAAACGCATCCACAATTTGAAATAAACTGCCATGTTTCAACTAGAGCATCCAGGTGTCAGAGTTTGTTCCTAATTACGAAGTAAAAGACACACCGCAATTGTCCATTGCATGGGGAGTGTAAGGTCTTACAATCATAATGGTCTAATGTATTAAAACCCCCTGAAAGACAAAAAATGTTGAACACCGAGGGAAAAAAAAAAAAAGACACTTTACTTTTGCAATTACTACTGGTACACCTTTGTTCAATAGTTTTACTTGTCTGTACCTGCACCTGTCTTCCAGATAATAGTTTTGAATAATGTCGAAGTGTAGCTCTTGCCATGAAAACTGCATGGTCTTGTCAGAAGTTTAAACAATGCCACCTGAACTAAAATTCACATAACGTTTTCCAATCCCACTAGAACACATTCAAAATGTTAAAAACATTACATTCAACATGTATAGTGGAGATATACTTTTATAGGTTGATTAAACAAAATTCAATGCATTACAAAATACAGTAACTATAAAAACATTATATCTAATAGTGGAAGTTTCTTGCAGAAATAAATGAGAATAACTAAAAACAAAAGAGTTGATTTGAACATAAATTCATAAGACTAAACCCAGGTCCACTTAGAATATTATATCCTGTATCAACCAAATCAACTTAAACACTTCACATCACAAAACAATACAAGGAGCATCCTTCAATTTATTTTTTTTTTGGGGGGGGGGGGCTGAATTTAATTCAATCCTTTGTTCTCAATGATCTTAATAATATTGGAAATTGTGAATTATAATAATTATAATCCTGCAATTATGATTTTTAACAAACCTATTACAAAAAGATAAATATGCTTGGGATTTGTACACATTAATTATTCAAAATACCCATTTATTCTGGCATGCTTTCATATTTATACCTATTGTGGAAATGGAAGACCCTATTCTTTACTTCAGAGGGTACCCATTACTCTTTTGTAAGGTAACGGGGGGTGTAACATTGACCATTAACCTTTTTGTTTCTTTTAAATTTCTACTTTGTTGCATCAGTTTTCCCAATAATTGTTTTGACTATTTAAACTTTCACTAAAGTAAAATGTTTCTTCAAAATATTGAAGTTACAGCTTCCATAATTTGAAAGATTTTTTAATTTTTTCTACACAAGCAAAATGGCTATGTTACCTTGCAGGGGTCAAACATTGCCACCTCTTACATATTTTCAATTCTTTGGCAATATTTAAATGTGAGAGTTGGATAGAAAACAGAAACATATAAATATGCATCAGAACAAATTTTATGATTAATAGTACTTGGTTTTTGACTGTTTAAATACACTAAACAGGGATAAATGTTGCTTTGAGAACTTTGTCTAAAATAAGTTTTAAAAGTTTGACATTTTGATAAAATGAGATAGAGAAAAAGTGCTTTCTCCTTTTTATATTTCCTCTGGGAAGCTCAGCAACAATATTTTATTTTGGCATAACACATTCATCCATGTAATTTAAAGTATACCTTCTAATACCATGCAGTTCAGTAGTTTTTTCCTACATAATTTCAAACTATTTACATTTTCCATTGCTTGGTGGATTTTAACTTCATCATAGATTTACAAAACCTTAGATATTGGATTTTTTATTTGTCTATTGGCATTCTCTCCAAAAACAAGATAAAGTAAATGAATGAGTAGCTTCTCAAAGTTACAATGCAAGTATGACAAAAACAAAAATAGTTTCTTTTGTATAAAATTTAATTAATTAATGTTTACAATTCATGTCATATGCTTTAGAAATGATATTTAAACTCGCAAATGTCAACTGTCTCAGTGTAAGAATTTCTTCTTAAAGGATATAGATGTACAGCATGGCAATGTTGCCCTGAAAGTAGTATATGCCATTTATATATTTTATCTTGTTTATTATGAATAATTATTAAGTCAAGACACAGCATACCTGGGATATGACTTATATACTTATCAATGTCGTTTATTTCAACTAAATTAACGAAATCTTGATTACAAGAGTTCGCTGCACCATAATATTTACGGACATTTTAGGTTACAACTGTAACCCAATGCAACAAACAATTATATACACCAGGTATATAATGTTTCTAAGAGAGGTGGCTAAGTATGGGAAGAACCAGCAACTAAATTTACTATACAGACCATGCTACTTAAATGTTTCGAAGTTTTGGCAATGTTACCCTTTGTTACCTTATCTAATTACATTCTTTTTCTACTGCACAATGCAAAAACTGTTTCATCATAATTGGATTCATACTTCTTACACGTAAAATACACACATTATTTACTTACAAGAGCAAATTAATGTTTTGAAGTAATGTATATGTAATCAATTAATGAATGTTTATTTGTTAATAGTTTTAAATTTGCCTAAAATGCAGATTATGTAGCTATAGAAATAAAATTAACATAAAGTAAATAATTAAAACTGAGTGAAACAAACTATATGGTTTGATAGTTCTTTTAATTCTTTTACCAATTTTCAAATATTATAATGGTACAATCAGCTGTAGAAACTCAATTATTATTTTGATAATGTAATGACAATGTGTTTCTATGAACCCACCAGCATAGTCAATAAAGTAAACACTTTTACTTTCTCATAACAATAAGCTGCTAAAAATCACCATTGAAAAATCATCCATCTAATCTACACACTATCAGTGGTTAACAAGGTAGGAGATATATCTTGCATCACTTTGCTACTGAATTTGCAGCTTCTTAGCCACTAATACAGCAGCACACTTTAAAGGAGAAAGTGGGATTATGGTTCACACATTTTCTCATCTTGCATTTTGAAAAATACTGTCAAAAAATATAGATTTAGTACCCAATTTTTTTTCTGTCAATGAAATAAGTCACAAGAGTACATCTTTGTAACTACAATTATCTGTCATTAATAAAAATTAACATCCTGGCAAATATGCAAAAGAAGGTTTCTAATTTAAAAAATCTTTATCCAAAACTTGTCAGGATCATTCCACTATCTAGGAATTTCTGAATGTGAAGAACCTAGTTACTACTCAGGCATCTCTGCAACTACAATCACCACTAACGTGCCTATAAAAGAATTGAGACTGTATATAGGGACACATCTGTGCATATGTGCCAACGTACTACCCTTATTGAACATTATATAAACTTAAAATGTTTGGTCAAATTATGAAGCCATTTACCCTGTATTACTGAGTAATGTATTGTACTATATTTTGTCATACTTGATTATTAAAAAAATAGACAAACTGTAGTGTTGCAAACTCTTTTGACCATTGAAAAAACAACTTGCTCCCACTCTCGGCACAGGCCTCTATGAAATGATGGGGCACACTGAGGTGAAGCTACACCTTGGAAACCTTGGAAATAGTATGAATGATCTGATAACAAATGGCACAAACAATATAGCAGATAAACCAGTGTCACACTTTCTAATCCTGTTCCGAATACCCACCTTCTCCTTTATAATATCAAATACTTTTGTTAAAAAAATTCGCATCTAAATGCTGCAACAAGCACTTCTATTATGTTAATAAGAAATTACAAACTAAGCAATTTACAACTACAGTTCATTCTCAATTTTTAATATTACACATTTTCAACCCTTTGAATAGAAAAATCAAAGAGCTTTCTTGCTCAAATTGGAATAGCCTATACCAACACATGATAATATAACTTTGTTTCCCCCAAGCTTCAATTCCTCTTCTTCTTCACTCCTTTGCCATGGTTCAAGTTTAAACATTAATCCCAAAAAATCTCTTATATGGCGCAAGAAATGAATAGTGTAATTTGATAAAGGACCTATTTGATACTTGGATACATCTTTTGGTGCCAAGGCCATGAATAGTCCAATGAAACTTTGAAAAGCTGAATCTCCACATCCTCCACTGTGAATTTCTTCTAAAAGATTGTAAGCTGCTTCTTTTCCAATGTCTTCAGGAACAGAAGGAGGCAATCCACTCCCTGAAGGATTTGATGTCATTTCACCAGTATAAAATACACCATTAGTAGTTTCTGCAGTCAAACAAATTCCAAATCCAGGAGACTTGCCAGAAGAAGCGCCTTTGTGATGATCAGTATAGATATACACATCAGGAATGAATTTTAACAGAATTCCTTTAGCAGCATCAACAATACGATTTGCTATAGCTGGAGATACTCGCACTGCATACACCATACCACGTATTCTTTTCACTTTACCAGGATCTGTAAACTGAATAGATTTTAACTGTTTTCGAATAGGACACTTGAATATTACCTCTCCCCCACCTTCTGGAGCCATTCCACGCTTTGTTATCTTGAATTCCAAGCCATCATCAACAAGAAGAAACTTTTTTAGAATGGGCAATGCCCCATACATGATACAGTCCACAGAATTGTCTTCTAGATTATTTGTAACACCTTTCAAAACAGCATTTATAGCCTTTTTACAGAATGGTGCTAAAGCAATTAAAACTTCAAGATAATAGCCTATTCCTCTCTGCTTACAACAATCATGCTCAACTGCACCTCCTATCAATAACCCAGGTTGAAAATATATTGAAGTACCTGTTGCATTCAATTCAATTTGTGTGCCGTTTGTTATTTTATCGAGAAGACGGATTAAATTCACTTCAAATTCTCTTAGACCTGGTTCAGTGTCATACTGTCTTATTTCCTTTATTCTAACGGGCTTGCCACTTAACACAGAAAGGATGAGCCTCTGCCTCAAGAAATTGCTTCCTTTAAAGTGGATAATAGTACTCACAGAAGTCATTTTGCTATAAAAAAATTGCTTATCCACTCGTATCACAGTAAATTTATACTTCTCAATCACTACCACATTACTATTATTACTACTGTCGTCACAAGCAACTTGTTTGACACTATTTTCA